TTTTAATTAATTTAGGCCCTCTTTTTGTGGATGTTCCAAAATGAAAACTAAATCATCTGCAAATGCCTGTAATTTATATTTTTCTTTTTTTATTTCCATACCTTTTTATTTCTATATCTTGTCTGATATTTCTATTTAATACTTCCAGTGGCATTATGAATAGTAGGGGAAAGAAGGGACATGCCTTTTTTAATATCAACCTGCTCTGTCATATCTCCATTTACCATCACCTTTGCTGTTTGCTTGTAATATATTGCCTTAATCATATTAATAAATCTCTCCCCCAAATCCATATCTTTCAACTGTGCTAACATAAATTGCCAGTTCAAATTATCAAATGCTTTCTGTGTGTCTAGGAAGATCAATGCCATTTGCTTCCCTGGATGTGCTTCCTAGTACTCCAACGTGTTTAAAATTATTCTCCTATAGTCTTTAATTTGTCTCTTAGGTAAGAATCCATTTTGATCTGGATGTACAAATTGATTTAAAAATCTTTTAAGTCTTTCTGCAATTATTGAGGTGTATATTTTATAATCCGCATTCAGTAACGATATCGGCCTGTAATTTTTTTATCTGTTATAAGTCTGAGTCTTCTTTTGGTATGAGTGTGATGTATGCTTCCGTCCATGATACCTTCTATTCTAACAGTACTTCATTGAACACTTCCAGCATTGGTATACTTAGGATATTTTGCAGACCTTTATAAAGTTCTTCTGGTAGACCATCTGGGCCCTATTTTTTACTATTTTTTGGTCTCTTAATTGCTTCTGTTAGTTCCATCATTGTTATATGCTCATCTAACATGGCCTTTTCTGTTTCAGGTATTTTAGGTAATTCCGCCGTCAACTCATAAAATATTTCTATGGTCTTTTTAGAGTTGCCAACAGAAAGGGAGGGGGGAGCAGTGGCCAGCTTGCATTCCATAAATGTTTTCAAAGATAGTTTCTAGGTGACCGAAGTTTCTGCCGTGCAAAATTCTAACTATGATTGATGACTTTTGGCTATGGATGTGTCCCATTGGAGAATATGAATTATGATACAACCAGGGGGTGGGGGAAAACCAGGATCAGGGGTGACAATAAATGATGTGTCTCAGAGCCGGTTACACCCAGGCAGTACCAACTTGTTTACTCCTAATAAGTCCTCTTTTAAGTTTTGGAAGTTTGGCTTGAGACTCATGATTTAAATGGGGGTAACTGCCAGAGCCCTGACATCCGTTTTAAAGTATTGTTTTATTTTATCTTCTGAAACTGTTTCTTAGTCATATAGTTTTCCATAATAATTTTGAATCACTTACTTTTTATCATTTTGATGGTAAAGGTTTCCTTCCTCATCCATTAATTGATGTATCAATTTTTTTTCTTTCTCCTTTTTCAATATATATGCCAGCCATCTTCCTGGTTTATTTACATTTTCAAAAAAATTCTCTTTAAAGAAAAAAATCTAATTCTTTTCCCATGAATTGAATAAATTCCTTGTCTTAATATTGATTGATTCAATATTCATCTTAATTTTTTTTTGTTTTTTTCCATGTGACTTTTATTGGATTATGGTCTACCCAATTATTTATTTCTATATTCAGTTCTTGTACATTAGTTTTCAGTTCAGCTGACATCCATATCATATCTACTCTTGACCAAAACGTGTCTATTTGAATAGAATGAATATTGATTTTCCTTAGGATGTATCTCTTGTCATACATCTTGGATGCCTAGTTCTTCCACCATTTTAAGAAAGCCTTTAGAAGCATTTTCCTCGCTTTTTTGTTCACTTTCCTGGTTTTATAGTCTAGTTCCGCATTTATAATTGCATTGGAATTTCCCACAATACAAATATTTTCATACTCCAATTCTATTATTTTCTTATGAAGTTTACTATAAAAATTCTCTTGTTTACTATTTGGTGCATAAATTGCTACCAGGTATATCTGTTTATTGCTATTTCCACCATCAAAATCCTCCCTTCTTTGTCCTAAATATTTGCTTAGCATTTATTGTTTCTTTTATACAAAGCGCTACTCTTCTCTTCTTATGTTGTGATAGAGAGGTACCATATTTTTCGGAGTATAAGACACTCTGAAGTGTAAGACACACCTAGCTTTTGGGGAAGAAAACAAGAAAAAAATCTGCCTCTGCCTCCCAGCAATTTGCCTCCTTGCAACAAACAGCAAACAGCCTGGTCTGCTTCAGCACAGCCTGATTAGCACAAGCAGCTGATTATCGGTTGGATCATCTCTTACTATCTCTCTTACTATCACTCCCTCTTGTGGTCCAAAATAATTATCATAAAATTGTTCTGCTTTTTCTATGGAATCTAATCTATGTGTTTGTTCCATCCAAGTCACCAATACCCTCTGGTATCAGCCATCTAAATTTCTGGTATCAGCCATCTAAAATTTACTCCATTCTTAATAAGCTGTTTTATCAAAAACTGATATTCCTTTCTTATCTGTCTTACTCTTCTGGGAATGTTTTAGAACTACTATTTCTTTCTCTTTGTATTTTATGGGTTCATCCCTTGCCCTTTGTAGTACCTCTATTTTTAGTGCTTTTTTAGTGAATTTCACATGTACCTCATTGGAAAGTCTATTTCTAAATATTTTGTCCATCTCAGCGAACACCTTTTCTTTGGATATCTCTAAGACATTTGCCAGCAGCTCTGCCATTATTTCTCACAAAGTTTTCTCCCTTTTCTTCTTCAACGTTCTGGAAACGCAAGTAATGGTCGGCCCTATCCATTTCCAATAATATTATTCTCTCCTGATTTTTATCTGCCAATGTAAGTCTGTGAACAACCTCTTCCACTCTTTTCTGTTTGTTCAGCTTTCTCTGGATGCGTTGTTCATTTTTAGCCATTATTTGTTGAAAATGTTCTATTTTATCTTCTACTTTTCCTATTCTTTCCTTGAGGGCTTCATGCATGACTTGGAGCAAAGCTTTCATCTCTGCCTGCGTCGTATTCATTTTTTCTTGCTGCAACATCACATCCAATGACCTTTGACCTGCTAGGCTGGATGCTGCTGCTGCTGCTGCTGCAGATGCCACAGATGTAGTTTTCTTCATTTTGTGATGCTTTAATTATAACTGTAATTTAATTGTAATCCCAGAGACACGTAATTATAAACCACAAAGGCAGAGAAATGAAACTGATATTTATAATCCAAAGGGAAAGTGAAAGTATAAATTGTAATCCAAGAGTTTTTAGGCTATTAGCCCTTCATTGTTCAAAAAGTATCTGTTTCTCTTGTTAAATTTATAATTCATATAGGCCCACCAAATCCCAGAGTTCAACCAGCCAACTATCTTGTATCTTTAAAGGGAGAGTCCACAGAGCAATGAACAAAAAAGAAGGGTGATATTTTATTGTTCACTTTGTCTGTTTAGCTTCTGCTTGAGTTTCAAGAGCTAGACTGTTTTTAAAGTCTCAATATTTCACTCTCTGTCTCAACTATGTAGCATAAACAGCTTACTGGTATAAATGTTTTTTATTTTAGCAACCAACCCGTAACTACTTCTTCTTCAGTCTCTCAAGGTTATATTTGCTTTTATTTATTTTTTCCTTTGCACCCTTTGACTTCTGCCAGCAGGTGTCACTGTTGCTCTGCTTCTCTCCCTTTTATTTTATATTGTATTATCCAGTCCAGAAAGTTCTTTAAGTCCAAATTTTATAATCTCCAAAAGCTTTCCAAATTGATCAATATTATATTTGAGTCCTCAGTCCAGCTTCCTAATTTTAAGGTTCTTCCACTTCATTAAAAAATTCTCTTTTCTTTCCGGTTTTAAAAATGGCTCTCCAGCTTGCTCATTTGCTTTTCTTGGGAGGTGGAAGAACACAACTTCCTCTTTTAGGGGTCCTACTCTCTCCCAGATTAGTTTCCAGGGGGCTTGTTCCTCAATCGCAGTTACAAGTTAGAAATCTGTCACCCAGATCATTCACACTGTTCCTCAATATTTCGCGCTTTCTTCATTGGTCAGCTTTGCTGCCTTTGATCGGGCATGCAATGGGTTTTTTTTCCTGTTGGATTGAGAGCCTTTTCTGGATCGATCAGGAAGTTTGCAGGCTTCCTGAGATCAGTGGAGTATGCTGTCTTACTTCATCATCCTTCTGAGGTGATTTAGGTCCATCAGAACTTCCTTGCACTTTGAATTTCGACACGATCCCATGGAGCCCCATGGGATATGTCGTATCATCGTCAGGTCAGCCCCATCCTCTGGGAGGGAATGTTCTATTATACTCAATAAAATACTTAAATAAATGGGAGAAAATACAAATGGCTGCATATTACTACAAAAATGCTTTTGAAAACTAACCTGAAAATTAGTCATGAGTTGGGAAGGCTATTAGTTTCTTGAACCTTTAGCCCTTTCTGTAATACTGAAACACATTTTTTCACCCCCCCCCCCCCCCCCACCCCAATTTTTTTTCCTCCTTGCATTATTTCCAACTAGCTTAACTGCCCCTTTCTTCTCTTCCTCATGCAACTTGCATATTTTCTGTACCTCTTTTGGCTGATTCTATCAGAAGAAAGAAAGGGAATATTGGTGAATGTACTTGTATATTTTGTGTGTGACAATGACTCGTGTGAGAATAGCTGGTTGTATAATTATTGTAGATCAATTAAATACAATAGGATACCTTGTTTTACAGCCAATAATTTTTATCAATAGTTATTAGCTGAATTAATATTAATGTTTTTTGAACTACTGTTAAGTCTTTGGGGACTATATCTTCTTAGAAGCTTATGCACATATAAATTCATAAAGATGTATCATATTTAGGACTGATTTCTATGTAATTAAAATTGACAATGTGGGGCAGCTGGACATTACACATTCTTTTTGTGTACATTTACCTTTCCTGCCTATTCTTTTTGGGGGAGGGGTAAGCCATTTAAAATTCAGAATATTTCTCAAGTAAATAAATTAAATACTTAAATTAAAAATGGCTATGGATTCAAGTAGCATTTTGATAAGAACACACACATACACATATGTACTAACCAGGAAATAGTGATAAGACACTCATTAATGCTCCCACCAGCCGATTAACTGGAGAGATATAAAACAGAACCTGAAAAGAAGCAGGGAAAAATATATCAATAGTATACCATTTCAAAAGAAACCGGAGTATAACCGAGGCAGTCAAACTGCCCCCTTTAAAGCAGCAAAATATTTATATAGAATAGAATGAATGAGCTGGAAGGGACCTTGATGGTCTGCTAGTCCAACCCCCTGCTCAAGCAGGAGAACCTATAACATTTCAGTTAAGTTACTATCTGGACTCTTCTTAAAAATATCCAGTAATGGAACACCCAAGATTTCTGGAGGCAAGTTGTTCCACTGATTAATTGTCCCCACTGTTAGGAAGTTTCTCCTTAATTAGATCTAGGTTGCTTCTTTCTGGTTAGTTTCCAACCATTGTTTCTTGTCCTGCCCTCCAGTGCTTTGGAGAATAATTTGACCCATTCTTCTTTGTGGCAGCCTCTCAAATACTGGAATACTGCTATCATGTAACCCCTAATTCTTCTTTTTTTAAGATTAGCCAAACTCAAATCCTGCAGCCATTCTTCATATTCTTTAATCTCCAGGCCCTTTATCATCTTAGTTGCTCTTTTAACTTTTTCCAAAGTCTCACCTCTAGTATGGTGACAGTTGGTTGCAGTTTTCTAGGTGTGGTCTTACTATAGTTTTATAAAGTGGTACTAGTACTTCACATGATCTTTACAGATTACAGATTAACAGAGTTGGAAGGGATCTTGTAGGTCATCTAGTCCAACCCTCGCCCAAGCAGGAGACCCTATACCATTTCTGAAAAATGGCACTCCGTTCTTGATTCTATGCCTCTGTTTATACAGCCCAGGATTGTATTAGCTTTTTTGGCTGCTGCTGCGTACTATTGGATCATCCACTAGGATTCCAAGGTCCCTCTGTCTACCAATCACAATATATTACTCTGACTTTTATATTTATTTTTTACCATTATCATTTTAATCCTTTTATTTGCTGGTCTGTGACCATAATAAAGATTGATTGGTTGATGATGATTGATGATGATCAGTAGTATCTATTTACCTATATTTCTGCCATTTTTAATATAGATGTTATAATATACCACCTGTATAATAACCACAAAAATATGTTGCAATCTGTATTATTACTTCTTGAAAAATTATGAAACTACTAGACCTTGCATTCTATGGCTTAAAGTAATGTGATGGTTGATAAAAGACTGAGTAAGATTTTGGGTCCTTGTTTGTGACATGATAATGTTTATTCAATTTCTTTGACTAATTAAGCAATATATATTTATCTAAAAAGAGAAAAATCAGAGATTAATCTACATAATTATAGTCTATGTACTGTCCTCTCTATTCCAAGCCATAAGAGTAGATACGTTATATATTTTCAGTATACAATATAAATATAACTACATACTTATTATAAATTAAATATAAATATTTACATAGATCTCAGTTTTCTGGCAGTTTCTTGATTTCAACAGTTTCTTGTTGGTGCTACCTATATGCCAATTTTATTTCCTCTTTTAATCTATATATTTCATGTTTTACTGTCTACCCATTGATACCAAATGTTCCAAATTGAGTAATATTCTGAGTCTTCTTTATCATTTAATTTCATTGTGAGACTATCCATTTCTGCACATTCCAGGATTTTACGAATTATAACTTCCATCAGACGGAATGGTAGACATCTTTCAAGCCTGCATTAGGGCAATTCTTGCCGTCGTTATTATGTGTATAATCAGATATTGGATCTTTTGGGGATATTTCTCTTTAATGATTCCCAGGAGAAATAATTCCGGCTTCCACTCCAACCTGCAATGGATAATTTCCTCTATGTTTGTATCTTGGTCCAATATTTTTTAATTTCTGGGCACGGCCATCAGACGTGGAAGAAGGTGCCTTGTGTTCTCTTACACTTCCAAAAGTTTGGGTTCAGCTTAGGATAAATTTTTGCTAATCTGGATGACGCCAAATGCCAATGATAAAGCATTTTATATACATTCTCTTTATATGCAACTGACTTCGTCAAGGAAAAAAATTTATGCCAGATTTTTTTCCCAAGCCCAGGCTAACATGGTTTCTTTAACAATTTCCTCTTCTAAGTCAAAATTTAATAGATAATTGTATATTTTGGATATTGTTTTTTCTTCTGATCCTAGTAATAATTTTTCTAGCTGGGTTTCTTTCATTTCAAATCCGAATTCTTCTAGATCTTTTTTATACCTCGTCTGTACTTGAAGGTATGGCCACCAATCTATATGTATTCCCCGTGTTTCTAATTCTTGACTTGTTTTAAGTCTTTCTTGATTATCCCAAATTTGGTAATATTTGACTTTTTTTACTGATATCCAAAGTATTTGGGTGGATCATTGCCTCCATGGTGACAACCAACCTGGAATTTTGGTATAGTGTTTCTTCCTAATTTCTTCCCAGATATTTATCAACGAATCTTGTAAAACGTGCCTGTAAAAGTAGGAGTGGTTTTTGTTCCTGGGGTTCCATATGAAGGCATGCCATCCTATTTCTATATCATATCCTTCTAATATCAAGATGCTCCTATTCTCTAATTTGATCCAATCCTAATCCATATTAACGCTGCTGCTTTGTAGTAAGTCTCCCATATTGGGAGTCCAAAGCCATATCTGCTTTTGCTATCCTCTAAGTAGATTGATTTTATTCTTGCTTTTTTCCCTGTCCATATACATTTTAAGGCCTGCAACAGTATCGGTCCAGATTCCAATGGATCTTCAATAATGAATGCCATATCAGCAAAGGCCTGCAACTTATATTCCTCTTTTATAAGTTGGGTTCCTTTTATTTCCTTATTTAATCTGATTCTTCTTAATAAAGTCAGGTTGAAAAGCAGGTGACAATGGACATCCCTGTCTAACTCCTTTTGTTATTTCAAATGAATCTGTCATTTCCCCATTTATTAAAACACTTGCCTTTTGAATAGAGTAGATCGTTTCTATCACATTCTCAAATCTTTCTCCAAAATCCATTAATTTGATCTGTTGGGTCATACACTCCCAGTGTACATTGTCAAATGCTTTTTGCGCATCCAGGAAGACAAGCACAACTTGACTTCCTGGGTGTGTTTCATAATATTCTAATATATTAATTATTGTTCTTGTGTTATTCCTAATTTGTCATGTTGGGAGAAATCCATTTTGGTCAGGGTATATTCTATCATTTAATATTTTCTTTAACCTATTTGCCATAACACTCATAAGCACTTTATAGTCAGCATTTAGAAGGGATATCGGTCTATAGTTTTTAATTTACTTAGTGTCTGACCCCTCTTTTGGAATCAATGTGATATAGGCTTCCTTCCACGAATCTGCTTTTATCAATACCTCATTACAAACTTCTAGTAACAATGTTTCTACAGATTCTCATATATTTTTGTAAAGTTCTCCTGGTAGACCATCCGGACCTGTGGTTTTATTGTTTTTTTGTCTTCTAATTGCTTCCTTTAATTCAATTAGTGTTATTTCCTTATTTAATAATTCCCCTTTTTCTTGTAATAATGGGGGTGGCATTTCTCCTTTCAGATATTCAACTATTTTTTTCCATTTCTATCTTTCCCTGAGTGTATAAATTTTCAAAGAATTCTCTTACAATTTCTTTTTTCGTATCCATGGTAATTTCCTCAGTGCTATTCTTATCTAGTAATTGGTATATAGTTCTCTTATTTTCCTTTTCTTAATTTATAGGCCAACCAATCTGCCAGGTTTATTTGCATGTTCAAAATTATTTTGTTTTGTATATTTTAAATTTCTTGGTCTAAAATGTTCAATTTGTGTTTTGTTAGGGCCAATTTGTTTCTAATTTGCTCTTTCCCTGGTTCTTTTTGTAATTTATCTTCTACTTTGTTTATCTCCCCCCACTAATATATTGTAATTTTGCCATTTTTCTTTATTCCTCTTTCCCATATAAGCTATTGTTATTCCTCTCAAATATGCCTTCATTGTATCCCATAAATTTTGTAATGAGGTATTCTAGTTTTTATTATCTTTAATAATTTGAATTCTTCTGAATATTTTTGGATTTATTCTTTTTCTTTTAGAATTTGTGCATTTAGGGTCCATCTGCCTCTTTTCCTCTTCTGTCCTTTCCATATTATTTTGAGAGGATTATGGTCAGCCCAGATATTTGGCATTGTTTCTATTCTTTCAATATCTTTGATTAAGTCCCCATTTACCCAGGCCATGTCTATTCTTGATCAGGATTTATGTGGGTTGGAGTAGAAGGTGAATTGGGTTTCTCCTGGGTTCAAGGTCCTCCGTAGATCATTAAATTTAGTTCAAAAAAGGTTTTTGATAGCATGTTTCTTTTGTATTTACATTTTTGCTCAGTAGTCTTTTCAGGTGTCTAAAATTGTGTTATAGTCACCAATTACACACACATTTTGGTTTCCTAATTCAATAATTTTATTTTGTTTATTTTTGTAAAACTCGCTTTGATTTTTGTTAGGTGGATATATCCTACCAATAGTATATCTTTTCTTCCCACAAATAATTCCACTATTAAAATTCTTCCTTTTCTGTCTGTATATACTAATTTTGATATTATTTCTTCTTTAATGTATATTGCTGCCTTTCTCTTTTTTCTTCTGCTAATGTATATAGTTTTCCTAATTTTTTGTACTGTAGATGTCTCTCATTTTTTATTGTGCACTTCTTGAAGACGCACAACGTCCATCTTTTATTTCTCTATTTTAGATAGTATTCTTCTTTTTGTTGGTATATTTAAGTCATTTACACTGATCGATACTAACTTTAATCCTTGTTATTTCTGTTCCAATATCTGCCTTCTGTTTGCTCTAGTTTCTCTTTGGTTTCTAGTTTGTACTCCCTCCTCTTCTTGGTTGACTTTCTCCTCGCAATTTCCCTTTTCTTGCTCCTCCTATTTTCTTGCTGTTGTTCATCTTGACTCGGTGGATCAAATTCCCCTCTGCTATCACTTTCCTCTTCTGATCCCACCAGCTGTTCGTAGAAGTCTTGGGCTTTTTCCAGATTATCAATTTTTATTTTATTTTCATACC